TCCAGGCTCTGATTAGTCAGATAACTCTAATTTAACATAGATACCACTTGAAAAAAGGTAAAAGAAGAGAAATATGTACAAACACTAACCTAAGACCCTAAGAAGCAAGTTTAAGCTAAACAAGAGCTAAAAGACTCCTATATAATGCAGAATGATCCTAGACTAAGGATAAATGAATGCAATTATGTACATAGATGATGTAAATACATGGACATATCAAGCCCCAAAAGCGAAAATTGTCTGCGATAATTGCTATGGCACGCTGTCACCAAATCTAGCACTAGCAATTTTACAGAATTTAACTCTTCAGGCCAAATCTGAATCTTTAACCAAGTTGTGATCAATATCATGTTCAACTTATATATTAGTGAGGAGATCCGAAGATGAAGCAAAAAAAATTATGATTACCATTGAAAATCGCCGTGTTAGAATGAGCTAAAAATGTGTCATCAGAACCAAACTTATGATTAGACACCGTTGTTTTATGCCACGCCAAACAACATCATGCCGAGGTCAATCCAAGAACACTTCGACCTCTAAACTTAATACTTTGTTCCAACATCGGGCTGAGGTCAATAGGAAAGGTATTTCTGCTTCTCTTCAATTTCTTTCCATTTCTCTGCCTTCTCATATGCAAAATATGTTTCCTTTTAGAAGCATTGTAGATATCACTTGTTGTACTTGCAGAAAAAATTTTCTTCCTCTTTTGGTCTAAGCCTATTATAAGTCATTTGCTACTGTTTGTGTGTTTTGCTTGTTTGAACCTAGTATATGTGGAGCATGACCACAATTTTTTTTTTATCATTACTAGAGCGCAATGAACAACAACAAAATATTGAACAGTTGTGCACGTAAGGAACAACAGATAATAATAAATAGTTGTGCACGCAACAAGCTGGACTTATCATTCTTCATGTGGCTACTCGGATGTATCTTCTTGTTTTCTACCTCGCTTCCTAAATGTAGAGTTCAGCTCGTAAGTCGGCAATTGAAAGATACCTTATTTTTTTTTCACCTCATAGCAGATGTATCTTATTTTCTATCCCAATTCCGGATTAGACTCAGCAATTGAAATAGACCTTATTTTTTACATTCACCCTATAGATGTGTAAAGTCAAGTGCGTTGTTGCCAAAAACTATGTTTAAGTGATATTGGATATAAACTCTATTAGGATAGCTAGTTTGGAGCAGGAGATAGAGAGCTTATGACTGAAGTTGTTTCGTTGCACAAGGGAGAAATACAATGCTTTAGATTCTAAGAATGGCCAGAAGCAAATGCTTACAAGCTATGTCTTCAATCGCGATTGTAGACTTCACCTAAAGTCTACAAGTCAACAAAGAGGTTATATTTACAATTGCCCGTTTTTGAAAATATCCAAAGTAAACTACATATGAAGTCTATGTGTTCGCCTTTGGAAACAAAAAAAAGCACATGTAGACCTCATTTGAAGTCTTCGTAAATGGAGGTTAGTTTTGCATTTGACAAGAATTTTGATTTTTTAGAGTAGACTTCATGTTAAGTCTACTAAAAAAAACTTCATATGAGCTCTACGTTGTAAAAAATTGATGTCACT